GTAAAGAAGCTATCCATATGTATTACCTAGATATCAATGAACTTTTAGAAGGCAGTGCTATTTTAGAAGACAGAAAATGTTTTTAAATGGACTAGAAATCCAGTGTCAATGTATGTGATAAGCAAGTGACTTTAAGACCAAGAATAGCTCAGGGTAATTTTCTGTGTCATCTTATTATGTTTCATGAATGTGGAATCACCTGAAAAAAAGTATACTTCTGAGCAATTTTCCAAGAATAAAATATATTCATCCACCATATGTTGATGATGTCCAAAGAACTTCTTAGATTATTATCATAAGTAAATCAAAGTGTGATCAGAAGCTTTGTATCTCTTTTAAGTGTAAATTATGAATTATGAAGCTTGAATTGTGACAAAAGCTATCTCCACATCTATTGTGATGACTGATCATTGATTTGATTTATACATTAAGGTATTTATTAATCTCTGAACGTTCACCAACCTTGCTACAAATATCCCGATTAAAGGAATACGGTCATTGCTAAAGCATTTCATTATCAACAACAGCTCAAAGAAAATTTCAGTAAATAATAAATGCTTAGTTAATATTATTCTCAAAGTGAGACCAAAGAACATAGGTATACTAGCAAATAAGCAGTCTACATGGCATAATTATGAAAAAAAATTCAGTAAAAATTCTTTCCAATGACATTAGTATATGACAAGGCAAAATTTAAATACATTAAGAAAGTAGTGAATACAATTGATATTGAAAGTTTTAATAAAAAGTCTGTGTGTTGAAATTATGAGATTCTATTAAATAATTAACTTCTGAAATGGAGAAGTTGAAATTTTTAATTTAGTCATTTTTATTTTTTGGCAGTACAAACATAAACTTTCTGGTAAGTGCATTGTTATGTTAACACTCAGAAGACATTTAGAAAAATTACCTTTAATTTTTACTTAAAAATTTAGACACTAGCTTGGTAGTTACTTTTTAAAAATATAATGGTTGGATTTGAACAATATGTGTAATTTTTATTTTTAATATATTTAAGATAAAAATAGGTAAAGGAAGAGTATTTTTAAAAATTAAACTTTAGTGTCAAGAAAAATGCCACAATTCTAAAATACTTTGTGAAAATTGACAAGGAAATTTTAGTATTATACTAAACTTAAATTTATGGGATGCCTCAAACCCTAAATTTATTATTAAATATTTGCTTTATACTTATTTTTAGAAATATTACAAGATCAAATCAAACATTTAATTCAATAATTTATGTTTAAAGTATATTCCAATCCTGAGGAAATGGGATAGTGCAATGAAGCATACACATAATGTTACTGGATACATGGTCCTCAAATGTTTAGCAGTTGCCCATATAAGAAATGGTACTGCAAGTAGATTTCATCATGGAAAACTCATAGTGTCTTAATCCAAAACATTGCAAAATAAGTCTTAAATTTGCCCATTTCCAGAGACAATATTTATCACTTTTATTGAAAATAATAAATGCAACAGATTTTAAATAACTACAAAAATTTCCGTGCACATAAAATGATGACAATTTTATTTAAATAAGTCATACGTATACACACATAGTTATTCGTTTAGAGCAAAATACACAATTGTACATTATAACCCTTAATAATTAATTTCAAAAGAATTTTTCCAAATAGCCTTCATTCAACATTAGCATATACTATTTTTTTAAATGTACTTCAATTGTTTATTCTAAATGAAATTTGTGAAATGGTGAAGTTTTCTACATCTGCTATTTTTTCTTGGTTTCTGAGTTAAGATTAAATGAAAATAATTTTTAAAAAACACACACAGAGTGTGTAACGCACACCTGTAATCTTGAAACTTGTGAGGCTGACATATAAGGATGTTTATTCAAAGTTAGCTCTGGGAATATGTCTGTGAGACTCTGATCTTCATTTAACTACCAAATAGCTAGAAGTGAAAATCTCAGGGAAAGCCCCAGGTACTGAGTTCAAGCCACAGTAAAGGCTTAACTAGGGATACAGGTGGACCCATTGCAACAATGATATGTACAAGTCATTATGTTAAAAACGAACTTTACAACTTTTGCTGGGGGGGGAGGGGTGAGAGGTGGGAGATGGGAAGGGATGGGAAGGGGAAACAAAGGAGGAGGCAACAATGCTTGATAAGAAATGTACTCATTATCTTGCCCACGTAATTGTAATCCTCTGTACGGTATTTTCACAATTAAAAAAAAACAAATGCACTAATTAGATGACTTTTATAACTGTAACCCTCTTTACATCATATTTACAACAAAAAATTAAGAGAAAAGAATAATGTGAACAAAAGTTGGTGAAAACCAATTTCTTCCAATAATGAAAACCCAAACAATTTTATAATATCATATTTAACAAAATCTACCATTTTTATAAGGTACTAAACATCTCTGAATATAATGTTTGTTTCCTTTCTTGTAATTATTTTTAAACTTTTGGCGAATGCATTTTTTTGTATGAAGTAAATTCAAACTCAAAGAATTTTTATTAGAGTGCTCAAAAGAAATTTATCTCTCTATCTTACCAAAAATTTATCTCTGTAAAGAATCCCAAAAGAGATACTGTAAGAGCAACATGGACATGGACTTTTTCTCCATCTGCTATGTCCAGAAGGCCTTATTTAATGGGCTGTGGTGATTATGCAATACTTTATGATCCTCAGCAACCAATTTCCAAGGAAGGTTACTTGGCACATTTACAAGGACATATTTTCAAGTGCTAAATCTGCATGGGATTTTTACCTAGGAGCTTCACAACTTCAAACAAAATATATGGGAATGTTATAAAAGTAGTGTATATAGCGTATATCAGAAAGCAAAATGAGTGATAATTCTTTCAAATTACATTGGTATATGATGAGGGAAAATTTTGAAATGCATTGAGAGAATAGCTGAAGGTAATAAATATGGAAATATTCCATAAAGAACTTGAAATTATAAGAATCTTAAATAACTGCTAAAAGTTGAAGTTTTCACTTTATTAATTTATTTTATTTTTTTGTCAGTGTCAAGTTTAAACAAAGGGATTCATTTGTAGTAAGTGCATTGTTATATCAATAGAAGGCAATAAGAAAAACAAACAAATACATTTTTTGTCAGGTATGGGGCTTGAACTCTGGGACTGAATATAGTGTCTTTCAGCTCTTCAGCTCAAGGCAAGCACTCTGCCACTTGAGCCACTGGGCCACTTATGGTTTTCTGAGTGGTTTATTGGAGATCAGAGTCTCACAGACTTTCTCACCTGGGCTGGCTTTGAACCCCGATCCTCAGATATCAGCCTCCTACGTAGCTAGGACTCCAGGCATGAGCCACCTACTCTGGGTCAAATAAAATTTTTATTAAAACTTTTTAGGTCTTAATTTTATAGTTACTTTAAAAGTTATAATGGTTAGATTGCAATAATTTGTAACTGTTATAAAATTTAAAACAAAAATAGGAAAAGGAACTATACAGTAAAAAATAACCTTTAGTATTAGAGAAAATTAAGCAGCACTTCCAAAATATGCAGATAAAAATTGCATATCAAGGAAATTTTAGTATTTAACTAAACTGGAGTTTATGGGAAGACACAACCATAAAGTTTATTTTAATGAATTATTTGCTTTATATTTTTATTTACAGATACAACAATGACAAATCAAATGCTTTATTAAAATTTATTTTTAGCCTATTACTGAATTGAGAGTACATGCTAATGCAATGAAGCAGAGCTGATATGTCACTGCAAACGTGGTCTTCAAATGTTTACCAGATACCCACATAAGATGTTATTGCAAGTAGACTTTAACCTGGAAAATTTAGAGTATGTCAGTCAAACAGTACTGCAAAAGGAGTGTTACATTCACCTGATAACTGAGAACATATTCATCCCACAGCTTTTATTGAAAGGTCATCACAAATGTAGCAGATTTTAAGTGAATACAGAAATTCCAGAAGAAATTCCAGGAATTTACACAAGTTCCCCTTAAATAATTCAAATGCTTACACACACTCATGTTTATTCACTGAGAAGAGTATATACAATTGTATAGTATATCACTCAATAATTAATTTCAAAAGAATTTTCCAAATTACCATCATTAACATTAGCATATGCCATTTTCCTTTGGCATATATATATACACGCACTTAGTTTATTGTAAATGAAATTTGTAAAATGCTGATGTTATCTACATCTGCTACTTTTTTCACTTGCTCAGATAAAATTAAATAAAACTAATTTTAAAAACATACACACACAGTAGAGAAGCAGGTACCAGTATATCATGTCTGTCATCCTATTACTCAGGAAGCTGACATTTTAGGATCACTGTTCAAAGTCAGTCTTGGCAGAAAAAAATCTGGGAGTCTCTTATCTTCAATTAACTACCAAAAAGCAGGAGGGTAAAGCATTGGGAAACAGTCCTGGTGCTAAGATCAAGCCCCAGGAGAGGCATGAATAAATACACAAGAAATTAAGAAGGCATGTGCTTTACAATATTAAAGGAAAAACACTTAAATGACAAAGACAAGACAAAGGGTTATTAATGTTAATGTACTTTATTTCTCATGTAACATATGCACCAGAAATAAATATTCATCTTGTGCCAGTGAGAAAATTGAGCCTTAATTATGCACTGACTTTGTTAGCATAGTACACATAAGAAAGTATTCTGTGCAATAAAAAATAAACAGTAAAACAGTTATTATACATAGATATCTCCTCCCTAAGAAAATTTACTATGAATTCCATTATAGAATACAAGGAATATTTTATGACATAATTTATAGTTAGAGGTAAGTAAATTGTACTGTACTTTAGTTGGTCATGTAAGTGCATCATTTATCATCTAGAAATTCAATATAGATATCAAAAAATAAATTTTTGGAAATGTCACTTATGGTAAGAGTTATGAAGAAGTTGTGAAGACAGTTATGAAGAGCAACTGAACCTAAGTATACACAAATGAATCACTTCTTTCCAACAGATAATGGAAAGTTTGCTTGAAATGACTCACATCATTATTATCTTAGTTGTTTGGATCCCCCTTTTCTTCTTCACAACTCTAATGAAAGCATTTTTCACTTCCTTGTTTCTAAGACTATAAATGAGTGGATTGAGCATGGGGATCACAATTGTGTAAAACACAGAAGCCACTTGATTCTTTCCCAGGGAATAGGACTTCCTGGGTTTTAAATAAGTAAAGGTTGTTGTACCGTAAAAGAGGGTGACTCCCAGCAAGTGAGAGGCACAGGTGGAGAAGGCTTTCTGCTTCCCTGAAGTGGACTTAATTTTCAGAATAGTAGAGAGAATGGACACATAGGACCAGGACAGTGTGATAAGGGACAGTAACAGTGTAGAACCAGCACAAATGTATACTACAATTTCAGTGGCATATGTATCACTGCAGGACAGAGCTAAAATTGGAGATACATCACAGAAAAAGTGATGAATTACATTGGAGTTGCAGAAAGCCAATTTGGCTATAGAGAGCACAGTAAAAGAACCATCCACAAAGCCAATCATGTAAGTGCCAGCAAGGAGGGCGCAGCAGCGTCTTGAGGACATTATAACAGGGTACTGTAGAGGATTGCAGATGGCCACATAGCGATCAAAGGCCATTGCAGAGAGGAGAGAAATTTCAGCACCTCCAAACCAAACAAATAGATACAGTTGTATGAAACAGCCCAAGAATGAAATACTCTTGGTAGAAGTTAGTAAGTTCACTAAAGTTTTAGGTGTGATGACACTGGAGTAGCTGAGGTCAATGACTGAAAGGTGAGTGAGGAAAAAATACATAGGGCTGTGAAGCTGGATATCCAGACAAATTATCATGATCATGCCTAGATTGCTCAGCACAGTAAACAGGTAAATCTGAAGAAACAGCACGGAGAGTGCCAGCTGGGTCTCCTCAGAATCTGTCAGCCCCATAAGGATGAAGTCATGCAAATTTGTGTTATTCCAGGTTCTCATAGTGTGCTGGTGGACACTGTTGAGAAGTTATATGTTAACATTAGTTCAAATTATCCCCAAATGAGTTGTCTTTATGGAGGTGAGTCAGTATTTTTCAGTACCTTAGTTTGTCTCATAATTAATCATCAGTTATGCATAATGACTTCAATTTCATTATGAGCTCTAAATAATGATAAAAATGACATTAAGAGATAATTAAAACTAACTCTCCATTTTTGTCCTATAAGTGCTAAACATAATATTAAAATATTTAAGCAATACAAAATGCGATAGCTTATATGCTACTATTTTGTATTCCAATATCTTTTTGTAGGTTATTATTAGTTTTATTATTATATTTGTTATTGTTATTATGTAGTTGCACAAAAGGGTTACAATTCATTAGTCAGGTTGTGTATATAGTTTCTTTGTTAATGTCACTCCTTTCTTATTCTCCAATCTCCCCTTCCAGTGTCTATCCTGAAGTCAATTTTAACATCTTAAGAATACTTACTGTGGACAAAAGTTGGTCAAAAGAAAACTTCTTTCAGAATTGTAAGGCAAAATTTGCTAAATTTCATTTCAAAATATCCCATTCCTATAAGGCACTAAACATCTCTGTAATAAAACATTTGTTTTCCTTTCTGTAGTTATTATTCAACTTTTGGGGAATTCATTATGCATGAGGTAAATTAAAACTCATAGAACTTTTATCCAGTTGTTCAAAATAAAAGTTTCCCAGAAAGATGTAAAGAATCCCAAGGAGCTACTGTAAGAGCGGTGCATGCTTCCTCTCCCAATCTGATACATCAAGGGCACCTTATATAATAATCCATGGGTATTGTGTAACACTTTGTCATTCTCTGAAGCTGGTTTCAAAGGAAGATTACTTGGCATATTTTCAAGGACAAATTTTCAAGTGCTAAATCTGCATGAGCTTTTCAAATAGGAGCTCCACAATAAAGAAGAAGATCACCTGATCTCTTTTAATGCAATGCTTTTTTATGTTGTTTGTGATTGGGTGCTAAACTAATAACGAATTAGATAATAACAACTGAAATATTACTTCGAGCATTGTTTTTCAAAGATGGGAAAGCCTATGGGAGAACTTCAAATGTACATGATAAGAATCAGTACAAGACTCTTGTGTATTGCATTGAGTAATTATAAAATTTAGTTTTCTTCAAATACGTATAGAAAATCTTCCCCTAAGAAAGTGTGCTCATTCCTTAATATTTTAAGATACAATTTACAGGTGTGAGTAAAGAAGCTATCCTTATGTCTTATAGGCATATCCAATGAACTTTTAGAAGTCAGGGCTATTTTAGAAGACAGAGAATGTTTCTAGTCTTGGAGACTAGAAATCCAGTCGCAAACAAAGTATATAACAAGCAAGTATGTTTAAGTTAAGAGGACAGCTCAGGGTGATTTTCTATGTCACCTTTATATGCTTGGTGAATAATAATTACCTGGAACAAATAATACTTCTTCAAGATTTCCCAACATTAAAACTAATATTCATCAACCCTACAGATGTTGATGATGGCTAAAGAATTTTTAGAGCATTGTATCATAAGGAATTTAAAGTGTGATCAGAGACTCTGTATCTCTTTTAATTGTAAATCATGAATGAAGTTTGAATTTTGTTATGCTATCTCTACAACTATTTTCATGACTGAGTGATAAGGATGGTTAATTCAATTTATACACTATAATGTATTTATTGATCTATGGATGTTCGTTCATCCAACCTTCCTAGAAATATGTCAGTTCCATAACTATAGCAATTGGTAAGCATTTTTTTACCAAAATGATAAATGTTTAATGAATATTATTCTCAACTTCAAACAAAAATACATAGGAATGCTATAAAAATGTAGTGTAAATAACACGTTTTACATAGCAAAATTGAGTGATAATTCTTTTAAATGACATTGATATACAAAGAGGAAAAAACTGAAATACATTGAGAAATTAGCAGAATATAATAAATAATGAAAGATTTAGTGAAGAATTTGAAAATATAAAAATCTTAAATAATTAACTTCTAAATAGATAAGTTGCAGTTATTTCACTTTATTCATTTTTTTTCTTTTTGGCAATGTGGAATTTGAATAAAGGGATTCTCTTTGTAGTAAATGTATTTCGAATTAACAAAAATCAAATAGGGGAAAGAACATAAAAAGACACCAAAAAATCACACAAACAACAACAAAGAGAAACCTCTTGTGTCCATGTCTTGGAGTTCATTTTACTTAGCGTCATTGAGCTGCTCTGGTCATCTGAAAAGAGTATCCTAGCTGTATACTAATTATAGCAAATAAGGGAAACCAAGGGACCTCTATTTCTTTAGGTCTGGCTTACTTCACTCAATATGATTTTTTCAAGTCTTTCTATCTCCTTACAAATGGGGTGGTGCCATTCTTTCTGATGGAAGCATAAAATTCCATTATATATATATATATATATATATATATATATATCACATTTGCTTGGTCCATTCATCTACTGAGAGGCATATGGGTTGGTTCATATCTTGGCTATGGTAAATAATGCTGCGATAAACATAGTTGTGCTGGTAGCTTTAGTATGGTCTTGTTTGTGATCATTCGGGTAAATACCCAAAAGTGGGATTGATGGGTCATAGGGGAGCTCTGTGTGGAGTCTTTTGGAGGAACCTCCATACTGCTTTCCAGAGTGGTTGAACAAGTTTACACTCCCACCAACAGTGTAGTAGCATTACCTTTTGGCTACTATCTGTCCAGTATGTGTTATTAGACTTTTTTTTTCTTACAAAGGAAATTAATTTATTAGAATTTTAAACTTTTGAGATGGAAATCATTTGAACAGCAGATCTTTTCACCACTTAGAATTTCAACATTTCAGTTACTGAATAACAAGAGAGAAGCCTGTCAATAGATTTTTTGATTATAGCCATTTTAACTGGAGTGAAGAGGAATATCAATGTTGTTTTGATTTGCATTTCTTTTATAGACAGAGATGTGGAGATAATGAAGAGCCTTATGGATCAAGGAAGATGATGGAGAAGCAGTTCCAAGCTAACTGAGCTCTCTTGAAGAAACAAGTTTTAGTGTTTCAGTGAAAAAGCCAAGGCTAGAGACTCACAACAAGTGAGCCATCATAATACAGAGTGTTTGGCCGAGAGGAAAAATTCAGGCAGCCAGTTTAAGAAGACAGAATCGAGCGAGGACTCGCCGGAGACCAGCGCAGTGGAAGTGGAGAACTGACAAGGAGTAGAAAATTCATCCTGGTGACCACAGAGGGATGGAGATTTCAGATAGACCAAAAACCAAATAAAAGGCTAAATACCCCACAAGACATTCCCAATCCTTCTCACAGAATAGCATTTGGAAGGTAGCTCTTCCCACACCACCAAAGAAAACCGCCATCCACAGGCCGAATTTTTTTGAATAGAGACCCGGAAACACAACAAATCAAAGAAAGGTTGGACAAATGGGATTGCATAAAGTTGCAGAGCTTCTGCAGGGCAAATCACATAGCTAGCAAGATCAATAGAAAGCCCACAGATTGGGAGAAGATCTTTACTAGCCATACAACGGACAAGGGTCTCATA